GAACTATCTCCCCATTCTTGAACAGCCACCACCAATTGTATTGTCCTCTCTCAGGTTAAATAACTAAATCTCCTGGCTCTGAATCGAAGCCTTAGAAATCCCCAGTGGCATGAAATGACGATCTTAATGGTCCAATTTCATTCACTCGCATATCAGCTTTAGACTATGGTTATTATGAATCCATTGAAATAGGCTTCGCTCATAAGGCTCAGTGCCTGCATTAGGCAGAGAAAGGCTCATTCTTAAATTGAACTCATTCATAAAGGACGTTATACTAATGTTTTTGGGATAAAAGATTATAGGATCACACGGATTTGACTTGACTTTGACGGAATGCATGCGAAAAATCTGCAGAATCCATCCTGCTAAATTATCTGCATGCATGCACAACTGGGCATGCAAAGCCGGTTGGACTCCGTACGTGTCTCGCTGTCAATTTCGGCCCCCTTGCATGCACGTAGCAAAGCGGCAATCTTTTCGGGTCTCTCCTCTGAGCACAGCCATCGTGTGGATCCTTCTATGGCATATATTCATATCCATTACCCACCAGCTATGTACGTTCACGAGGAAATCAAACACGGCAGTAGGAGTTAATCTTCCCGCATTCTGTCACCAGCTCTCTCGTATGGACTGAGTTAGAGAGAGAGAGAATCCAGAAGACTGATGGCGGCAGCGGAGAAGCTTCCTGGTCTGTGGAATCGATGAGACAAAGCAGCTATTCATGTCACGGTCCAATGTTGGTCCTAGCTAAACCCATGCATCTTCGATTGCCACCTTCTCCTCTTGGGATGGGATGGAGCAGAGGAGTTAATTGCCATTAAGAAATCCTCCTCTGGGATTGTAACATCTCTTTTTGGTTCATGGAATCAAAGAGGGACGAGAATAACTGCATTGAGTCGTATCATTAAAGAGCTTCCTAATCAAGATTGGTCAAAAAGAGAAACATCTCCATTCACCGCCTCCTCGCCTTCCTCCTTCCGCCCATGCTTCTGGCATCCCCGTCTTCCACGACTTTCCTATTTCGTCACCTAATTCTCGGTGTTTGGAGGGATTTGATGACGCGTCGTTGATAACTTGCTATAAAGATCGGATCTTGATGCGGATGGGGCCTTGGAACCGGCTTGATTGCCATTGGGAGTCCGTCTTTTGCTGCTATATCTGTGTTCTCTTGAGGGTTTAGATGAGGGGTTTGATGCCGATCTTTGATATGTTCCTCCGTGGAGATTAGGACTTGTGAGTAGTGTTTTCTTCTTGATTTGTCCTGTTCTTGTGCTTTTGATGCCGTTTTATTTCGATTTTGGGCTGAAATCGATTTCTGTACCTTGATGGCCTTCATCTTCCTGTGCTCGTTTTGTGGATGAACAGAATGGCTTTCTCTCGCTTTACATCTACGGCATCGAGTTCTTGACACGCCGTTCGCTCTCAGCGCGCAGGATGGCGTCGGGGAAGAGGACCAGAATCCTGTCTTTGTGTCTTCTTCTCGGCCTCGTCTCGGTCGCCTTGGGCGCCACGGACCCCGGCGACTACCAGGTTCTTGATGAGTTCCGTAAGGGGTTGTCCAACGCGGAGCTCCTCAAATGGCCGAAGAACAACCAGGATCCCTGCGGCTCCCCGCCCTGGCCTTACGTCTTCTGCGCCGGCTCTCGGGTCGCCCAGATCCAAGCCAAGGACCTGGGATTGGTCGGCACGCTCCCCCCCGACCTCAACAAGCTCTCCATGCTCGTCAATGTCGGCCTCCAAGGGAACAACTTGACCGGAGCCCTGCCGTCGTTCAAAGGCCTGTCGAGTCTGCAGTACGCTTTCCTCGGCAACAACCGGTTCGATACAATCCCCGCCGACTTCTTCGTCGGGCTCGATAGCTTGCAGGTTCTGTCGGTGGATAGGAACCCTCTGAACCAGAGCACGGGGTGGACGCTGCCGTCGGACCTGGCGAACTCAGCCCAGCTGACGAACCTGTCCCTCATGGAGTGCAATCTCGCAGGTCCGCTGCCGGACTTCCTCGGAAACATGCGTTCTCTCAACCTCCTGAAGCTGTCTTACAACAGTCTCACCGGCGAGATTCCGGCGAGTTACGCCGCCCTGCCATTGCAGGTTTTGTGGCTGAACAACCAGAAGGCGCCGGGGTTGTCCGGCACCCTCGACGTGGTCGCCTCCATGACCTTCTTGAACGATGTTTTGCTTCACGGGAATCAGTTCACGGGGCGGATCCCGAGTTCCATTGCTGCCTTGACTTCCTTAAATCGGCTGTGGCTCAACGGCAACCAGTTCGTCGGACTCGTTCCCGCGAATCTGACGGGCTTGCCGCAGCTCCAATCTCTGCATCTGGATAACAATGCGTTCATGGGGCCGATCCCCAAGGCCAGCTTCAGCGACTTCACCTTCTCTGCCAATTCGTTCTGTCAGTCTGCGCCAGGAGTTCCCTGCCCGCCGGAGGTTGCTGCACTTCTGGGCTTCCTCGACGGTGTCGGCTACCCACCGAAGCTCACGAAATCTTGGTCGGGGAACGATTCTTGCACCGCTTCTTGGATGGGCATATCTTGTGCTGGTGGCAGGACTGCCATCATCAATCTGCCAAACTACCAGTTGAATGGCATCATCAGCCCTTCCCTCGGAGAATTGGATTCTCTCGCTCAGATTCTGCTGGGAGGCAACAATCTCACCGGCACGATTCCTTCGAGCCTGACAAGCTTGAAATCATTGAAGTTGTTGAATCTCTCTGCAAATGACATCTCACCACCCGTTCCTCGCTTCCCTGCTGGCGTGATGGTCATTCTTGATGGCAACAAGTTGCTGGGCAAATCTACTCCCGGCAGTCGTTCCCCGTCAGGTAGCTCATCGTCCTCTGCCGGCTCAAAGACTTTGGTCGTCGTCGTCGTTCCAGTCATCGTCGGGGTTTTGGTTGTGCTCCTAGTCATTCTGTTCCTCCGCTGTCGCAAGAACTGGAAGAAGACTGCACCGACCGCCATCGTAGTTCATCCCAGAGACTCCTCCGATCCATACAACTTCGTCAAGACCGCGGTTGCAAGTACCGCAAAGAAGATCAGGTTTGCCAAGGAACTCCGCAGCAACGACGGCAGTGGCGTCGTCGAGGAAGGGAACCTGGTGATATCGGTGCAGGTTCTTCGTGCCGCGACGCGAAACTTCGCCCCCGAGAACGTGCTCGGCCGGGGAGGGTTCGGGGTGGTTTACAGGGGAGAGCTGCATGATGGGACGGCAATAGCAGTCAAGAGGACAGAGTCCGCGGTGCGGAGCGACAAGGCGTTGGACGAATTCCAAGCAGAGATTGCGGTTCTTTCAAAGGTCCGGCACCGTCACCTGGTGTCTATACTGGGCTACGCTGTGGAAGACAACGAGAGACTCCTGGTGTACGAGTACATGCCTCAAGGGGCTCTGAGCAGGCACCTCTTCCAATGGAGAGAGCACCAGATCGAGCCTTTGTCATGGAAGAAGAGGCTGAACATTGCGCTGGATGTTGCCAGGGGAATCGAGTATCTTCACAACTTCGCTAACCATTGCTTCATCCACAGGGACCTCAAGTCGTCAAACATACTTATCGGTGATGACTACAGAGCCAAAGTCTCAGACTTTGGCCTCGCCAAACTTGCTCCTGATGGCAAGAAATCTATGGCGACTAAACTTGCAGGAACCTTTGGGTATTTAGCTCCAGAGTATGCTGGTAAGTGCTTCTTCTATCATTGTCCGTGAGAGGAGTGATCCGAGAACTGTACTAATCCTCTGGCCATGCTTGGATCAGTGACCGGGAAGGTTACGACCAAGGTTGATGTCTTCAGCTTCGGGGTGGTGCTGATGGAGTTACTGACTGGTCTGAAGGCTCTCGATGAGACTCGTCCTGATGAGAGCCGCTACCTGGCGTCCTGGTTCATCAAGATGAAGAGCAGCACGGAGAATCTCAAGAGCATCATCGACCCGTCTCTTGCCATCACGGACGAGGCCTTCGACGCTGTCCGCGCGATGGCGGAGCTCGCGGGTCACTGCGCGGCGCGGGACCCGTATCAGCGGCCGGACATGCGACACTCGGTCAGCGTGCTCGCGCCGCTCGTCGAGAAGTGGAGGCCCGTCGACGACGATCAGGAGTGTCCGGGGACGGACATCTGCCAGCCGCTTCTCCACATGGTGGAGGATTGGCAAGCGGCGGATGGTGGTTCGAGTGGCAGCTCGTTGAGCCTGGATACAAGCAAGGCGAGCATCCCGGGGAGACCTGTCGGGTTTGCGGTGTCCATGGCATCCGCGGACGGCCGGTGAATGACTCCATGCATCTTTTTGCTCCGTTCTTGATCTCTCTGCTCTTGCTTTCTGATAACAGTTTCTTGGTGATTGATTTCTTTGTCGTCGTGAGATAGAAACAGTGTAGATGGCTAGAGACGCAACCGATTCTTATAATGTTGCTTTGAGACGAGCAGCTGCCAGTGGTTGCTTGGCATTTGATGATCATAATTGTTTTTGTTTGCACGAGAAACAGGATAGTTATGGCTTCTTCCTCGCAATTGCAGTGAACGGGATAAAGCTTACGGTTCTAAGCCCCTCGAGCAATACAGCAATCAATCAGAAAGAGAATAAGATGATGGATGACAATGCTGTGGATTTTGGTTTATCCTTCCTGCTGGGATAATGGGAACATTCGATTAGTCTTATTTAAATTGATTTTGTATCAGTAGAATCTATTTTATATAAAACTAGAATTCTTAGAAATATTGGAATGGGAGTAAAATGAATTTATGGATGGAATCAAATATACAATATTCGGTAACTGGGATCAATCAACACATTTTTAAGCCTTTGTGCCTTATTTTGTGCACAATGTAAGGTTAAAAGCAAGCTCTTACAAATATTACTAGACGATGATGCTTTTGTGCAAGGAAGATTGATAGGCACAAAAGCTGGTTCATACTTCAGCATCCGAGGCTTTCGTCTCTGTCACCATTATTATCACAATAGGCACAATAGCATCAGCAGTTCAACATGACTCTATCAAAAAATTTTATTTTGTACACTAAATAAGGAAACAGAAGAAATCAGGCTCTGCAGGGATGGTATAATCCTCCAAAACTGCTTAACTGATGTGCAGGCATTCAACCAGTTTATGGGGTCAGATCTCCAAAAGATGGTTGATCTCCAGAGATAATCTTCTTCTGTGAAGCCGAATCCGGTTGTAAATGGGGTTTAAAGAACTGTAACACCTGCTCATAGACTGGTTTCTTGAACTCCACTGCCTGTTAAGGAAATGCATATATAAAGTGTCAGATTCAAAGCTCCTCCCATCAAGGATATAGCAGGGATGAAGGGTTGGTTCACCCACGAGTTCAATTACTTGCTCTGGTGTCATCCACGTCCATTCTCCGAATTCTGGTTTCTCAGATCCATCCCCAGAGAGATTAATTTCTTCTTCCTTCCCGGTGAATCTAAATAAGAACCTGCATTTCAGTGCAGATGTAGCCAGATGAAAGGAGATCACAATCACTTCTTTAAGGTTAACAGGGAGTTGAACTAGTCTTTTTTTTTTTTCTTCTCTCTAAAGCTGACTAAAACAAGGCAGCAAAACAGGATGAATAAACTACATACAGACTATGGAGCGGAGATCTTTCATCTTAATTAAATATGTTTTATAGAAAAAGCCATCTATTTAAGAGCACCCCGGTGCCTTAAACAATCAAGGTATTCAAAGATGGATTCTCTGGACTCTGATACCAAGTTATACGATGACTAACAACACAAGTCATATCATAATCGGCACACTATTCATAGTGCAAACATCATGTAGGCATAATATACGGTTCACACCAACTCTCATTTATTAGCCATGCTTTTAAAATGGCTCAGCCGGATGATCTTTCTAAAAATATCAATCTACACAAAATATTATCTTTCGGCCAAAGCTACCAAGTTATCCGGCCAAAGAACAGCAGTCACATCTGATCAGTTTCTATCAAACTCAATTTGAACATCCTATTTGCCTCAGGTAGATCACCTTAATTCGCTGATGGTACATATCATTGCAGAATTAAAGTGCTCAACAAGATTTATGCAACCCATCTATTAACCTCTTTTTTTTTTTTCTGCCCAACCCATCTATTAACCTTATTGGCATATCTGCGTTCGTCTTTCTGCTGCAACAGAGTCGAAAGCGTTCTCGAAAGCAGATGTTGATTCTTATTTCCTCAACACCATGCAAGATGAGAGAAGCCTAATATCATTTACTTCTACTCAGAACTATTTTTTATTCTAACAAAACTAGTCAAAGAATTTTTAATGATAACTTTCAGTACATCTCTTTCGTGAGTAGAGTTTGCTTTGATCGTCTCGAATATCCCTCCAAAGTAGTATGGCAATTTTCATCAACAATTTCCCATCACCTCCGAACAGAGATGCTATGGGTCCATTTTTCCCAGCATGCATCTTCCAACTTTAATAAAGGAAAACATTAGTTTTTCATTCATGGTGTTATACAATAAGAATTGATGGTGACTTAAAAATTGAAGCTTGTGCGATCCTAAAACTTGTATCTTACAAGCACAAGGTTAGAAGTTTATGAAGAGGAATTACATGCTTACCACTTTTGTGCTTGACCTTTCCAATCTGTTCCCCATTGTTTGTTTAGTTTTTCTCTTACTTCCGGAGGAAAATCATAGGTTAACCAATAAGGGACCTGCAAAAGAGACAAAATAGGCTAAATAGCTTGTTGGGAGCAACCAACCTGAAAACAACTCATAGAATTCTGTAGCATATGGGGATCGTCACATGACATCGTAAATGACTCTTTAGTATCTAAGCGGGTGTCACATCCTGAAATTTTTTTTTTTTTTATTTCCACACTGGCCAAATAGATAAACATCACTTTATTCATCATCTATAACCATTTATTACAATTCATTTATTCATCAAATTACAAATAAAAAAGTAAACATAGTGATGTTAACTTCAAGAGTCATCCTAGTGGCTCTACCTAGCGGTAGAGGAAGGTCCG